CTTCTGCCCACCCACCTCCCAATCCCAGCATGCCCCTAGCTTGTAGTTCTGGAAACTTCTGCCCACCCACCTCCCAATCCCAGCATGCCCCTAGCCTGTAGTATGGCAGGTGCTCATGGCAGAGCCCGCCAAGCCTTGGCGCTCGCCAGGCCCACACCCTGGTTCTGTGTTTGGGTGGAGCCCAAGTGAAGCAGCGTTCCAAATGTGGTTTCCGGGAGCCTTGAGCTGATGTCAGGCTGCCTCTTCTGCTCTGCTCACTCTCACTGCCCTTCCCCCACTTCACCCCCTTGGGCGTGGCAGGTGCCCAGGGAAGCAGGGAGGCAGCTGGTTCCCAGACATAAGGCTGGAAGCAATGTCTTCAAATGGGCACTTTCCTTGAGGCTCAGAGCCTCCCAGTCGCTGCCCGACTGTTGGCAGCTACCTCAGGACAGACAGCCTCAGGCAGTAGGGCAGCCCTGGGGAGGCATTTGGGGGCTGGGATGGGCACTGCATGTTTCTGCCTCATTTGCAGCCTTAATCCCCAAAGTAAACCCCGAAGTGTTCCCCAGCTCCGGCAGGGTGCCTGGGAGCCCGAGACGGGGCCGGGGGTGGGTGGTGGTGGCTGCCGTGTCCAGAAGCCACGCAAGGGGTGGGTCCCACCACTTGCGTTAGCTTACAAGCCAGGCGGCCTGTGTTCTGCCCCCGCCGGCCCCACACGCAGGGCCTCCAGCACAGGCAGCCTCAGGACCCTCAGGGGCCGGGCTTGGTGCCGTTCGGGTCTTGGGTACAGGAATTCCTTGGGAATGATGCGCAGGGCAGTTAACCAGCCCTGCCCACCGAGTCCTGCCCTTTCTTCCGTGTGGGTTCCCTCCGCAATGGCTTCTTCACACGGAACGTGGACCTGCCGAGCGGGGCCAGGGTCCCGGCTCCTCCCTGGGGGAAGCAGGAGGTGCGGGGGCCATCTGGTCCCCTACCGGCCAGGACTGCTTATCATCTACCACTGGCCGGGAGACTCACAAGATGGGTGAGGTCTTCGAAGGATGTTTCTCTTAGAGACCTCTGGATTACCTAGTGAGACGCACCACTGGCTTCCCAGTGTACCCCCCCCACCCCCACCTCCGCCGGGCCACGGGGCCCATGCGGAGCCCGGGTTGGTAACGAGCCTCCTTCTGTCCTTGGCAGCAGGCACTCTGGCCCGGCTTCCCGCGAGGAATTGACCCTGCTGGCTCAGGACAGGCAGAGAACAAAGGCCCCCGCCCAGGGGCCCACTAAGCTGGTGAAGAATTGTTTTCTCCCCCTGAGAGAATATTTCAAGTATTTTTCAACAGAACTCACTTCCTCTTTATAAATGATTTATTTTACTATGAAGAAAAAAAGACTTTTCCTAGAACCAGGCAACTTTCCTTACATTGTTTCTTTTTTCCTTTCCAAATTATTATTTTATTTGCTTGACTTCGGATTTCCCAAGGTTGCCACAGACGTGTCTTCCCTTTGGGTGTGGTGGTGCAGGGCCCCGGCCCTACGGTGCCCTTCTGGGGAGGGAGGCGTGGGTGAAGTTCGCAGCCCCTGACCGGGGACACCACCCTGATGTTATGAAGCATATTTGCTGCTGAAAATGTTTCTGCGTGCCTGTTGAGAAGTTAAAAATATATTTATTGTGGTCGTTATGGGTCACATTCTCGTGTTTCTGTGTGTAAGGATAGCCTTTATTGTATCCTGTGGGACGTGGGACTGTGCATGAGGAGGATGAGCGGGACACATTGTCCGGAGCGGGTGTGGCCCGCGCTCTCTGTGCGCTGGGCCGCACTGGCCATGCCATGCTGGCTTGTGACCGCCGTTGGCCGGGATCGTGAAAACCACTCAGCCTGATGACAGCCGCACGAAATCGTAGAATATCACACTTGGCAAGCAAAGGGAGCACGGACTGAGCAGGCCGCGCAGAGGCCAGATCCGCTCGCGAGGCATGAGCCCATGGGTGCCCCTTACACCAGAGGGACCTGCTTGCAGAAGGCAGGATCCCTGCTCACCCGAGCCCATCGCAGAGCTGGCTTCAAGTCACTCGTAATGAATCCTAAAGGATCTTTCCTGATGAGCCAGAGAATCCCCCCAGGGTGTAGATTAGACAGTTAACAGACACAGCTCGTCCCGGGTGTCCCCCGCAGGGGCAAGGAGGCCCCCCCACCCCGGGCCCTGCTGGTTCTGTTAGCAGATATGGTGAAATCAGATAGGGAGATTGTCCGGGATGAGCCGGGGAGGCCCTTAATGTGATCACAAAGGTCCTTATCCGGGGAGGCAGAGGGAGACCTGACCTCATACAGAGAAGGTCATGACCCTGGAGAACGAGAAGCAGCGACAAGCCAAGAAAGCCTGGGGCCGCCAGGAGCAGAACGCCTCGGAAGGATCCTCACCCAGAGCTCCTGGAGGAGCTGATTCCAGACCTCCAGCCTCCAGATCTTAGAGAGTACATTTCTGTTGCTTTAAGATGCCAACCTTGTGGTGACTTGGGGCTTCCCCAGGAAACAGACACACCCGCTAGGAGAAAAGATGGGCTCCCCGGGACCAGGGATCACATTGAGGGCTGCCCACAGGTCCCCTGTTCTGGGTTGTGCGGGAGCCCCAGGGAGCTGCTCAGGACTGCCCAGGGGGAAGCCTGGGTCTCTAGCATCAAAGTGCATGCCACACCTTCCACGTCTGCACCGAGAACTCGCAATCCCCAGCACCAATACCGTTCTGGCTTGGTGCCCAGGGCGGCCTTGATGTTCCTCCAGTGGGCTTTTGCCTCCACACCCTCTGACTGCCGGAGAAACATGGTCACGGTCAAGGGGAAGAAAGGAAAACCTCTCAGCTGCAGGGGCCTCCGAGGGCTGTTCTGTTTTTCCATTTGTCTTAAAATAACTCTGTGTGACCCACCGGCCAATGTCCATGTGAATGTTTTATACGTATCAACTCACAATAACCACATATGAACTCAGCTGCTTTTTGAGGAAGGTGTTGTAACTATTTCCACTTCACAAATGGGAAAATGCGGGCACAGAGGAGTTAAGTAACTTGCCCCAGGTCACACAGCTCCTGAAAAGCAGAGCTGGGATTTGAATAGAACATGCATTTATCAGGCTGAGGCTCCTGAGGCTGGTCTTGGAGGTGCTCCTTCCCCGCACCGCCCCAGGCCTGGCTAGAAGGCCCCTTCCAGCCACCTGCATCCCTGCCCCTTCTCTACCCGCTCAACAAACAGGACGTTCCCTCGGTCCCCGTTCTGGACTGGCCTGGTAGCAGCACCCGGCCTGGGGCCTGGCGCGAGGGGCTAGTGCCCAGGAAGCAGAGCCGGGTGCCTCCCCACCAGCGCCAGCACCCCTCAGCTCTGCAGGTTAGCCCCTTGGAGCCCCTCTCCCCATCCCTCCCTCCCTCCCCGCTGTCCTGGGGCAGTGGCCGGGCTGCCTCGAGCTTCCGGCACCCGACTGGGCACCTTCCCTTCCCCACGCCTAAAAGCCCCTTGCACTTGGGGCCCGCCCCCCCTCCAACCCCGGGGCAGCATGGGCTCTTCGTGGGGGGCCTCTGGAGGTAGAGGGCAACCCAGGCGTCGGCCAATCAATGCAGCGTAGCCCCTCCCCCCTCCCAATCAGAGGGCGTCCCGGGATTCGCGGGGTGGGGGTGGGGGGCTGGACCCGGGAAGGCTGGGAGGGGGAGGTGTTACCAGCCCACCGATCCTCCTCACCTGCGGATTTTGCCCCTGCTGGCCCTCGCCAAACGGGTTCTCTGCTGCCAACTGCCGCCAACCCGAGGGGCAGCAGGGCCACCGACATCGTGTCTCCTTCCAGACCCGCGGGCCTGAGCCGGTGCCCCTCCCCCAAGTGTACCCGGCTACATTTGCTCAAGCTGCGGCTTTGGATGGCAATGGTTTTCCGGTTCCCGGAATAAGAAGCGTCCTGAGACCTCCATATGATTTGATTTATGACCACACCCTGCTCTCCTAGCCAAATCTTACCTTTCCTCTGGGCCCCCATCTCCCGGCCCCTTCATGGCGCCCCAAGTTCAGACGGCCGGTGCCCTCACTGGACACGTGAACGGAGTCCCGACCTGGCTCCCTGGCGTGCCCTCCCCACCTAAAGGGGAGGGTGGCCCCGCTTGGCCTGTTTAAATCCTGCACCCTAATTTCCTAGCCTGCCCGGAAGGGATGAAGCCCCGAGCTCTAGGGCTGCATTCCCAGTCCCTCCCGCCGGGTTTCACCTGCACGCCCGCCCCTCCCTGCGCGTCCTCCTTGGCGGCTCTGGGGTCCGGCCCCTGCTTCCTCTCCCGTTTCCACAGGCATGCTAACTCCCATGGAGCAGAGGTTCCGTTTTCAGAGTTCATCCTTCGCGCTCACAGAGCACCTGGCCTGCAGTAGGTGCGCCTATATCTTTGTTGAGTGGATGGCAGGCTGCTGGAGGAGGCTGGGGTCAGGGGAGCCCTCCTTGCTTGGCCCTCATCTCACACCCTGCCGTCTCCTGCACCCCCATCCCCAGAGGCCGGCCTCTGCCTCCCCATCAGCCTGGGTAGCGGACTTAGAGAGGGACGGGAGAGTAGTGCGAGGACACACTGTGCTTGCCAGCTCCCCGGACACCAGAGGCGGGGCGTCTGGGATTCCAGGCCCTTCCAGGGGCAGCCTCTGCAAGAAGAGCACCCTACTCCCTCTTGGCCCCACCGACCTCACCTCACTGGCTCTACCTGGCCTGCGGGGGACGGGGTGGGACAGTGACTCAGCCTGGCAGCGCAGAGAGGAGGCCGAGGGAACTGGGCGGGGTGGGGGAAGGGCGCAAACGGGGCTTTTAACCCACCCTCCGCGGCTTCGCGCACTTTCCCAGAGAGAAAACAGGAGTGCCAAGTCCCACAGCCTTGGAGGAGCAGACGTGAACTGGTTTCCACGCAGTGGGCCCCTAAGAGCCTTTAATAGCCACACACGCTGTGGTGTGTGGCACAGGATCCCCCAAAAGGATAAGGGGGCAAAGCTGGGGGCGGGCCTCCCGGACCCGGCGCCGGGTTGGAGAGCGGAGCCGGCCTGCCTTCCCTCCTTCCTTCTATTCATTCACTCGTTCCTAAACCGGGTTCTTACTTCCCCCAAGACTTGGAGGTGCTGCCTCCCGTTCGAGGGAAGCAGGGGAGGAGGGAGGACGGCGGGCACTCTGCCCAGCCCAGCCCCGGGCAGGGAAGCGCGGGTTCCTGGGACCAGGTGCGAGGTAGGCGCCGCCGGGGCCCGGGCGCTTGGGGGCGCGGACGGTCTGCGCGACACTGGGGGACAGCACTTGGCCTCCCACGGCCCCCGCAGCCGGGCAAGCCTCCCGCAGAGCCCTCGGCCGTCCCCCTCCCTGGTACCATGCACCACCACCCCACTCCCCCCAACTTCCCGGGACACCTTTAGCGCCCAGGTCCCTGCCCAGCGTCCGTGGCTGGGGAGGACTAACGTGTGGAGTTTGCGACAGAGCTTCCGGTCCGCTGGCCCCGCCCAGTGGGAGGGACTGGGCAGGGGGGTGGGATCAGGGGCGAGGGCCGGGCGGGGGGCAGGGAAAGCACTCGGCCCGGCGACTCGCTTCGCGCTCAGAGCCTCGGAGGTGCGCGGGCGCGCAGTTACAGCTGGGTTCCGGCGCTCCGAGGGCTCCCGCGGCCTGAGGTCTCCCGCGCTCCGAGGTCTCCCGAGGCCCGAGGGCTCCCGCGACCCGAGGTCTCCCGAGGCCCGAGGGCTCCCGCGGCCTGAGGTCTCTCGCGCTCCGAGGTCTCCCGCGACCCAAGGTCCCGCCCCCACTATGAGGCTGAGAAGGTTAGTGTGCGGACGCCGGGGAAGAAGGGGGCGGGGGGCGCCGCAGGAGCAGGGAGCAGGATCCCGAGGTGGTCGGATAGAACACCCACTCACCTGGTGGCCCAGGCGGAATCCGTGGGAGGGTCGGCCCCTGGGAGCCAGGCGGCATCCGGAGCCCCTACCTGCAGGCGGGTGGCATCCGCCCAGGGGTGGGGCGGGTCGTGGGGGACCGACGGCAGCGCGTGGGTGTACTTGGAGGCGGATCCCCGCGAAGGAAGGAGAGCAGCCGCACACTG